GGGCGTCAGGACAGGAATGAGGAGGCTCCCACAGGGGTCTCAAAGACTGACACTCACCCTGCCGGAGCCCCGCCCCAGGCTCTCTGCCTGGCAGCAGGGCTGAGGAAAGGGGCAGGGAGCCAGGGTGGTGGGCTCCCCACCTGGGAGGCCTTTGGGGAAGCGGATGGGGTCTGTGTTCTGGGATCCCTGGGGCTCTGCGGTCCTGGGTGGCCCTCCCCTCCTGGGTGCCCAGCGCACAGCCCAGGGCATCGCAGACGCTTGGCGAGAGGAGGGGCACATGACAGATGCTGGTGGTGCTTAGGGCTGAGCTGCGCCAGTGCGCCCACACGTCCTGTGTCTGCGAGCAATTCGCCGTCCTCCTCTGAGCCTCAGTGTCCCCATCTACGAAACGGGGCGTGTTCACCTGGGCCCTGCCCCACAGTCACGGGTGGTGGGTTATGAGGCAGGACCCCCCGGGGCACTGTTCTTCCTGAAGGGTCGTCAGTTTGGGGAAGAGTCGGGCTTCCCTGGTGGCTGGGATGGTAAAGAATCCACCTGCAATGCAGGAGACCCAGGTTTGATCAGTGGGTTGGGAAGATCCCCTGGAGAAGGAAATGGCTACCCACTGCAGTACTCTGGCCTGGAGAATCCCACTGACAGAGGAGCCCAGTGGGCTACAGTCCATGAGGTTGGAAAGATTTGGATACAACTGAGCGATGAACACTTTGGGAGGAGTCCGTGAAGAACTTGGATGGATGAATTGGAGGGAGAGGGGCTGGACCGGGACAAGGCTGCTGGGCAGGGGGTCCTTGGGCACCAGCTCAGAGACCACCCATACCCCAGGGTGCATGAGGCCCTGGGTAGGTCGTGCACCAACTGGGCTAGAAACGATCTTGAGGTGAGAAGTTCAGTGCTCCTCCTAATTGCCGGGCGACAGGTCCCAGGCCCTCATGGTGGAGGTGGCTGTCTATAGCCCACCCCCGGCAAGAACCCGGTCACTGGTTGACTGATTGACAGCCTCAAAGAGCCATCGTCTTGCAGGTGGAGGGGTGCCGGAGGAGCTACTTGTCGGGGAGCAGGAGGTGGGGGTGGGCCCAGCTGTGTCCCGCCAGGGCCGGGCGCCAGCGTGGCGGAGCTGACGGAGGCTGCGGGCCAGGCTCTGCCTCCCCAGACAGTGGTCCAGCATGGCCAGATCTTCTGGTTCTTAGGAGAAGCCTCCACCCCATTACTCTGGAAATGGCTCTGATTTTAAAGACCTAGCAATGTGTTCCTCCTGCTGTGCAGAGGCAGCTGTAGGGAGGCTCGGGGTGGGGGCAGCGAGGGGCCGGCCGTCTGCAGGGTCCCCGGGGGCCAAGGGGGAGGGTCCCCGGGGGAGGGTCCCGGGGGCCAAGCGGGAGGGTCCCCGTGCCGGCTGTCGCCGTGTGGGAGTCGCTAATCATTTTTTTGTTTTGAATAATTCTTAACTCGGTGTTCATTTTGCACTGGTCCCGACCTGGGTGCAGGGAGACCTGAGCCCACCTAGGGGGAGGAAGGGAGAGAGAGACCTTCAAACACAGGGGAGGAGAAAATGGGGGAGGATGGGAGCTGGTGAGTAAGGGGCTGGGCTGGGGGCTGGGGCAGGCTGGGGCTGTGACCTGTGTGTGAGCGGTGCGGCTCTCAGCTGGGGGTCTGTGACTGTGTGTGTGTGTGTGTGTGTGTGCGCACAGGGGAGATGGTGGCGGGCAGGGAGAGGCACGGGCCAGCCTGACAAATATTTATTGAGCCCTGCTCTGCCAGGCCTGGGGAGGCCTGAGATGAGTAAGCCTGGCCTTGCCTGGAGGCCCCACAGCTCCTGAGGGCAAGAGGGTGTAAACAGTGAAAGGAATCAAGGCAGATGAGCAGCCCCCAGGCCAGGCGGGGAGGGGAGACGGGGGTGAGGCTGGCCCTCCCCCGCAGACACACCCCAGGGGCTCCCTCACCACCAGCAGCCCCCCACCCCTCGGGGGTGGGGAAGGAGTGGTCACGCCCTGGGGCCAGGCTGCCTGGGGCTGCGCTGGGCTCTGCCGGTCAGGTGGGGTGAGGGCGGTGTCCTGAGGCAGACACACCCCTGTGGAGGAGGCAAGGCCCACCCCAGTCACCCCCCAGGGCCCACAAGAGCCCCGCTTGCCGCGGGGTCACACTCCTCCGTCTCTGACCTTCGTTCAGTGTCCAGCTCCACAGGGCCGGGCCGCCCAGTCCCCTCTGAAGGCTGTGGGGAGGCTGGGAGCAGATAAAGGAGGAGGAAAGCGCCCCATAAACTGCAAACGGCAGGACAAAGGTCGACGCGCTGTGGGCGCAGCTGCCTCGGCCCTTTGGCACAGGACGAAGGGCGGGCCTGGGGCTCCCGCCCAGCAGACCCTCACCTGCGCCTCCCAGGGGACGGGGGTCCTGTGTGCCCAGGCCCACTCTCAGAAAGGACGCAGGCAGCCAGGGAGCCCCTCCAGGGGTGTGAGGACCCCGATAACTTGGCTGGAGAGGTGAGCACAGTGCCTGGCACAGCCATTTTCAGGAAATGAGGTGATTGCTGGGCTGGGACCCCAGCAGACAGAGCAGATGCACGGAAGCTGGGGCGGCTGGAGGCTAAACCCCCACCCTCCCCCACCAGGAACCCCCTTCAGAAGGGACACCTCTACCCAAAGGACTCCAGAGTATTCTACCTTCTCCCATGGCTCCATCCGCTCCTGACGACTTCCCCACCCTCCTCTCCAGGTCCTGTCCTCCAGGGTGAGTGAGCCCTCCCCAACATGTGAGCACACACGTGCACACGTGCACACACGTGTACGTATAAGCACACGCATAGATGCATGCACACACATCTGTTTTCCTCTGATCCCTTCCTTATCCACATTCACTTAATGAATAATCTGATATTTCTAAGACAACTAAAGAGCATTTCAGACCCACAAAGTAGCTTTCTAAAGTGCTGACGGGAAATTGCTGGCCCCACGGGGAAACTTCAGGAGGACCCAGGACGGCCCCTCAGAACCCAGATGCATCGTCCCGTGCCACAGAGCTGCACCATCTGGAATCCGCCGCCAAGCCCTGCCCCGGAGAAGCCGCTGGGAGCCAGCCTCTCAGCCCACGAGTCCCCGGGGCCATCGGGCAGTCTCCCTCCTGGGGAGGGGGTCGCAAGGGCAATGCCTCCCCCGAGTCTGTCTCAAGCGCTCTTCTTGCTTTGTTTTTCCCTCCACGAGCTCATAACTGATTCCATGTCTGACAACGAAAACTCGGATTTATCAGACGGTTACTCAGCATGCCATCGACTTGACTGGAATGCACAACATCTACTCCATGAGGCCGGACACACACCCCCGACTCCTCGGCAGACGTGGTGCACACTGGCCCGATGTGGGAAGTGGCCAGCAGAAGCATGGTTCAGCCCAGGCCACCCGGCCGGCGCCTTGTCTGCAGGATGGCCTCACCCACCCCTAGCCCCAGCTGGCAGGCCTGTGCCCCCGAGCCTCAGCTCTGGGACGTGGAGCCCACCCTAGGGTCTGCCCTGCCTTCACCTCCAGCCAGCAGAGTCCTGCCCTGGTCGCCTTTCCCAAACCCGCTGCCTGCATCCAGGCCAGAGCTGCAGAGTTTGGTGCACAGGTCGCTAAGACAAAGGTTAGAAAAAGTCCAGAAGGCACTTTATTGGAGTGCTCCCCTTCACATGGGGAGGGAGCAGGAGCCCCATCCCTCACCAGCCCAGCTGAGGGCCTCGAACAGCCGGTGTGGCACCAGTGCCTGGTGTGGGAGGAGTGGGAAGGGAACGTCTTAGAAAAAATAGATCTCTATGTACATGTCCGTATTTATAGCACATAAATTAGGGCGTGCTCTGACCCCTGCCCGCGGAGTCCAAGCACTGAGTGGGGAGGAGGAAGCCAGTCCAGAGAGAGGGGGCCCCCTTCTCAAGGCCCAGGACCCATGGCCTCCTCGGCCCGTCCAGCCTCTGCAGGAGGCAGGCGTCCCCAGCTGGGGTCCAATCAGGTCCAATCAGACAGAAGGAGCTGCACGCGCAGCGACGGCCAGTGTACAGTCACCTCCAACTCCAGGCTTGTGATTCCCATAGGAGGGCAGACTGCAGGGACCACTGGCCCCAGAGGCCAGGACGATGCGGACGGGACCCAGGGCCTCAGCTGCTCTCCACGGCATGGGGTGCGCGCCTGGATGGCCAGCTGGTCCTCCCAGGGGCTGCACTTCACGTCGAGCGTGGTCGCGGGGTTGATCCGCCCCTCAGTTCCTGTGTCCCACCACCTCCTCCTCCTTCCAGCCGCTGGAGTTCCTGCCGAACTTGTAGACAAGCCTCCGGCCGTCCACCCGCTCGAGGATCTCCCGCTTGTAGTAGTACCTGAGGGGGACGGGTGGTCAGAGGTGCCGGGCAGGGGCCGACCTGCCCAGTGTCCTCAGGTGACCTGCCCGCTGGGCTCTGGCCCCGGGGAAGTGGGCCTGAACCACGTCCTGCATGGGAGGAGCCCTCGCTCCCTCACCGGGCCCTGTCGGGGGCATCTGGCCCTCCCGGGGACTCTGCATGGAGCAGTGTGGTCTCGGGGCTGGAGGAAACCTTAGTGATGGTCTGGGAGGAAACTGAGGTACAGAGCCAAGCAGCTTAATTACTTCAATGGTGTGGGCCATGGCTAACGCCCTTTTTAGCACCAAGTGCCTTTCCTGGAACAAGCCTTGCAGATGATACAAAGAAATGCTCATCAGATCAAGCTCAGTATGTGCTGCAGGCCAGTCAGCCACGTCCCAGGCCATCACTTGTCCACACGAGGGGCGGGCCCTGCGGTTCCTTGCCGCAGTGGGCTCACGCCAGCCTGAGGGGCGGGCCCTGCGGTTCCTCGCCGCAGTGGGCTCACGCCAGCCTGAGGGGTGGCCCCTGGCGGCGCCCGTGGCTGCCCACCTCATGGCCCTGCTCAGCTTCTCGTAGGTCATGCTGCTGTTCTTCTTCTTCTGGCCCCACAGCTGGGCCACAGCCTCTGAGCGCAGGAACTTGAATACGCCCTCTTGCCGGTTCTCCCACTTCATGAGGCCCTCATTGAGCTCCGGGTGGATGAGGATGTCACGGATGAATTCCCACAGGTGGGTGCCTCTAGGGGCTACAAGGCCAATCTCCATCAGTCAGTGGCCCAGGCACCTGTGGCTCCCCCAACCGCCGCCTGGCCCAGCACATGGTCTCCTGATGGCTGCCTCCTGGCCTGGCCCAATACTGTCTACTGACGGCTGCCTCCCCAGCTGCCCCGACACTGTCTACTGATGGCTGCCTCTCCGCCTGGCCCAGCACAAGATCTACTGATGGCTGCCTCCCTCCTTGCCTACCCCACTGGACAGCCAGGGGCGCTCCAGGAGGACCACGTGTCACATGGCACAGAGGCCTAACCTGCTCAAATACTGATCAGCGTCTAGCTGGGACACGAGAGCCATTGAGACACAGTGGCACCACCTTACGGAGCTTGCAGTTTGGAGGAGCCATGGTAAAAAAGCAAATTCACCAAAGGGTGGTGGGAGCTCAGCAGGGAAGGGACAGAGCCGGCGCCTGCCTGGGGACGAGGGACAGCTGCTTGGAAGAATAACCCCAGAAGCAAGCAGGCGCCCTGTGTGTGGAAGGGAAGTAGTTGTGGGACCCTCCTGGTAGCTCCAGGGGCGGGAGCCCAGTGATGGCCTGAGGCCAGCAGGTAGGAGCTTGGTGTGGAAAGGCCACCCCGGCAGAGCCCTCGGGGTGGGGCCTCCAGCGGCCAAGCCTCGGTCCATGCCTGAGCCTGCCCCGACCGCCAGCAGGGTATCCCTCGGGCAGGAAGGCCGGAGTCCAGCCTGAGGCCTTCCTCCTGTAGCCATCGCTACCCCCACACAGGACCCCCTAGCCAGGCTCGGCCACTAGGCTGTGACCCACTCGCACGCTGGGCCTGTGGCCGGAGCACGTGGAGCACCCCAGTAAGGAGGAGAGAGCGCCAGTCACCTCACCTCGGCCCCAGCCCAGGGCCCCCCGAGCCCAGGGCCCCCCAGGGTGTGCCCCCCACCCTGGGGCGCCCGCTCACCGTGCTTGCTCTTCTTGCCTTCCAGACATTCCCGGGACTCTTTGCTCAGCTTTCGGGGCCGGCCCCTCTTCCGCTTCCCGTGCTTAAGATCCCCCTTCTTGTAGTCAGGAAAGCCATCTGCGGGGGGAGGCAGAAGGTCAGGAGAGGGAGGGCTGGGGGCTGGGGGGCAGCCTCCCTCCAGGAAACCCTAGAGGAGAGCAGGGGAGGGGAGCACCCTCGGGGGCCAGGAGGCTCCCTCTGCTCACCCCTGGGAAAGAGTTTGCTGTCTGGGGCATCCAAGTCCACGTCACTTCCACCGGAGTCTGAGGCGTGGGGGCTCTGAGACGCGCCAGTCCCTGGGGGGCGGGCCAGAGTGAGCCCCTAGCAGCCCGAGCACTGCCCAGCCAGGGCCCGTCCTCTCAGAAAGCCTGGGCATTGGTGGCTGGCAGAGACCAGGGCTCAGGGCATCCAGGAGGGCGGCCGCGGGCAGACGCCCGAGGGAGGGCTCACCTGCGGTGGAGACGTCGGAGCTGCCTGGGGAGGGCGCCCCCGCACCGAAGCTGCCTGTGTAGGGGGGGCTGGCCTGCCTGCAGTCCTCGAGTATCTCCTGGGTGAAGGGGCTTCCCTGGTCTAAGGGGCAGAGGTGAGTGGTCAGAGGGGGCCCTGGCTCTCCCAGCTGAGGGCCGTCAGGCTGGGGAAGGATGGAGGAGGGGCTCTCACCGAAGGGGCCTTGCTCCCCGAGGGGCTCCTGGAGAGCCAGGCTGTCCTTCTCCAGGAGCTCCATGATCCAGCTGAGCTCGTCGGGGAAGCTGGAAGCTGAGAAGGGGGTCAGAGCCCAGAGGATCGGCTCCATTCCCCTCCCCTCCCTGGGGCTCTCTCCCGGCCACACCCGCCCTGCGCTGGGGGGGGGGAGCAGGCCCCAGACCAGCCTCCCTGAGGGGGTGGAGGGGGCAGGGGGCAGGCTTCGGGGCCTGGGGGCACTCACTGAGGTCCCACAGCTGCGAGTAGAGCTGGTCCCCCAGGGGCCCAAACAGCAGGCGCAGCTCCTCGGGTGCGCAGCGGCACAGGGCCGCCCCGTCCAGCTCGCAGCGCGAGAGGTCGATGGTGCCGGGGTCGTACTTGTGTTTCTCCGCCTGGTAGCTGACCCAGTCCAGGACCTGCGCCTTGGACCACAGCTGGGGCTGCTCCCCCAGCCAGCTGGCCTTCTCTGCAAGGGGCCAGCGCAGTCAAGGGTCAGCCTCCTCAGGCGCCCGCTGGGGATTCCTGGGGTCCCCTCACTGACCAGGACGGGGGCAGGTGGTGGTGCTCACGGCACCCCGGCCAGCATTCCCCCCAGGCCTGTACCCCCAAGCCCCATCACCCCAGCCCGCCCCTGTCCAATCCTTCCCCATCCCAGGCTCTCAGATGGATGCCCAGCCCCTCCTGAGACCCACCTGTGCCCTCCAGGGCCATCTGCGGGCTGCCCAGGGCCAGCACCAGGTCATCAGCCCCAAAGGTGGGTGCAGGGGGCACAGAGGCAAGAGTGGGGTCGTCCGAGCTGTACATGGTGCTGAAGTAGCTGCTGAAAACGTTGCTGATCTCACAGGTTGCAGCCATGGGGCTCCCTGGAAGGGCGGAAGCTGGTGAGGCCGGCACCCTGCCTCACCCGCGGGCGAGTCTGCTCCCACCAGGCCTGGGGCAGCTAGAGCCCCAAGGGCAGGGAAGGTCAGCCTCTCTTGGGACAGGCTCTCTTCCAGAGGGGCTCCAGGGTCTCAGAGTGGGGTGGGAGCATGTGGGGAGTGGGGCACCAGGCCAGGCTCCCTGCTCTGCCCACCTGGGTCCGCGGATGGGACCGGCCATCACGGCCACTGTGTCCTTCCTCTGCCGTCAGGACACGGCCTGCCACTCCCGCTTGCGCAGGTTCAGAAGCAGGTTCAGAACCAAGCTCCACCAGCCCCTCCCCGATCCCCCGGGCCAGGCGGGGGTCCTACCGTGGCAGCTGAGGGTGTGGCAGGCAGGCCAGGGGCGGCCAGTGGAGGAAATCCAGGGGAGGGGACCCACCAGGTAGCCAGGTAGCCGAGGCTACGGCCGCGCTCCCAGCGCGCTCAGCAGGGGCGTTGGAGCTCTGCCCGCACCCTGGCCTTTATAGGCGCCCGTGGTAACCTGAGCTGGCGGCTCATTGGCCGAGGGGATTTCCTGGCCTTTAGACGGGGCTCCTGGCCCAGGTGATTTGCATACTTTGTGCCACTTGGCCGGGATCCAGGCCGGCAGTGCTGGGAAGTCAGGCCTGGCTGGTTTAATGATTGTCAGGTCCGGCACCCGCACCCTCTGGGGCTGGGCACGGGGCAGTGGCCTGGGCGGGCGGCCGCTGGGTGGGCATGTGCCCTCTCTCCTCAGGAAATTCTTCAGGGGCCAGGCCGGGCTGGGCAGAGGGGAGGGGAGGGGACGGGGTCAGGGCTGGGTCAGGAAGGCCGCCTGCAGGTCTGAGGACTAGGGGCCAGCAGGCAGGCGGGGGTGGCTGTCTGGGGAGACTCCGGACGCGGGGCAACACTCAGGGCTGCAGGACGGGCGGCTGCAGGGCCCACCGCTGGCAGAGGCCGAGGGCAAGGTCTCGGCACCCCCTGCCTGCCAGATGCCACCTGAGCCTCGGGGCTGCTGCAGCTGTGTCTGGGGGCCCTGGTGCTGTCAGAAGGACCCCCCACCTCCCTGCCCCCGACAGAGCTGCCTCTGGGGCCACCGAGCAAAGGGGAGCCAGACGCATGCGGCTGTGTCTACCTGGTCTAACCGCACAGGCCTGCTGCCCTCTAGCGTCGGACGCCGGGCTCCCTGGGCCCAGCTCAGTGCTCTTCAGGGAGCAGGCCCCATCTGACCCTCAGGGTGGCAGCTCACGGCCCACAGACTCGCCCGGGCCACGAATCCCCCAGCTGCTGCGCCCCGCAGACGCCCTCACCCTCCCTGTGGGCAGGGGACCCTTCCACCCACGTCCCCTCCATGAACTCAGCCATAACCACAAGAGCTGTCCCAAGAGCACAGAGGCCTGCGTGGGGGCAGCCAGGCGTTGGACCCCGGGGCCTCCTCCATTTCCCACCCTTGAAGAGAAGGCTGTGTGGGCCCTAATAGCCCTGGGTCTCTTCCGGATCTTGTTTTTGACGCATCAAAGGTGCAACATTTGAGCACCCCTCACCCTCCTTGGTCAGCGCCAGGGCCCGGGCGGCCGCCTGCTCGGTCTCCCAAGTGAGAGGACACCCCCCCTCGCTTTGACCTCAGTAGGACAGGGAGGTCTGAGTCTGGAGTCGGCCTGTCCGGTCTCTGCTCCGGGTGCTGAGGTCCCAGCCGCTCCCTCGGCCTGGGGCCGGGGTGGGGGGGCCAGGCCAGGCTGCGGGGAGAGCTCCCCAGCCCTCCAGGTGGCCTCTCCCACAGCCCGAGGCACGCCCTCTACCCTGGCCCTGGAATGTGGGCAAACCAGCTCCAGCCTCAGGACGGCTCACGTGCTCCTGAGCCGTCCTCCAGGGCAGGGCCTGTGACCCAAGAGGGCCTTGGAGAGGGCAGGCCTGCGAGGGTAGACGAGCCTTCCCTCCGGGGTCAGCCTGTGAGAGTGAAGGCAGGCGGGGCGGGGCAGGGCCCCCAGGACCCTCTCTGCCTGGACCAGCCCAGCTCACCTCCAGGATGGGGCAGGGACGACACGCGGGCCCGCCTCGAGAGGGGCCGGGCATCCCCGGGCAGGGGGCGGGGGGCGGGGTGTGACAGCTCAGGGCGCCTGCTGCACCGCGACCCCGACCCCGACCCCGACCCCGGCCAAGGAAGGGCCTCGGGGCCCTCAGTGTCCCGGGGTCCACACGCCCCGCGGTTCACAGAGAACCGGGGCTGTGCGCCTGGACGCTCAGGGGAGCCGGGCCCTCGGGGCCCTCAGTGTCCACACGGAACCGGGGCTGAGCGCCTGGACACTGAGGGGTCCAGGGGCCGCAGCAGCCCTCCTCACCTGTAACAGCAGCCGGAGCAGCCCTGGCCCAGCCAAAGAGACAGTTTGCTGGGTGGGGTTGGGGTCCTTCGCAGACCTCGCTGCCAGGACAGGGTCACAGGAGCTAGAGCATGGGTCTAGGAAGAGCCACTTGGAGATATAAGTGCTTCTCTGTGACCCTCCCCACCCCAGTCACCCCCACCCCAAGGTGCTGACTGTTGAGATCCCCACGTGGAAATCAGAGCTTGGAGTGAAGTTCTGGGCAGACTCTACTTCTGACCACACACAGCTGCAAACCCGGGAGCTGGGGGGCAGAGAAAACGCTCCAGGGCTCAGCCATCTGCAGCAGCATCAAAGAGCAGTGGGGGAGGCCTGCAGAGGATGGCCTGCCCCCTCCGGGAGAGTGGCCGCCGCTGACGTGGACACGCTTCCTGCAGAACCCCGCGCGGTCCTGCTCCTCACAGCTCAGGGGCACCCCACCTCCAGCCCGTACCCCTAAAGGACAGGGAGAGCGTCCTGCCCTGACCCGCTCAGAACAGAGGGGGGCCTGGGAGAAGGAATTTCAGTCACCAAAACTTTTCATTTTAAAATATTTATTAAAATAATGATTAAACTTGAAAAAAGAATCTCCAGAAATCAGCCCTTGGCACAGTATTTCAAAAATCAGAAAAAAAATTAAAGAATAAAAAAAGAGAGAAAAAAGAAAACCACGCCTGCTCTCCCGAGACCCCAGTGGGGAGGGGAGGCCTGCCACCCCCAGCCCAGGGAGCAGGGAGGTTCTCGGTCACCGGCCGGGTCCAGAGCCAGCCCGTCAGAGCGGAAGCCCAGGGTCGGGGAGCAGGTGCCCTGGTGGGGCCTTGACCTGGAGCAGCCACTGCGGGCCGAGCCGGCAGAGGCAGGGCGGGAGCCTCTACCTGCCCAGGGGCTCCAGGATCTGCTGGACGTACTGGACCACGTTGCTGTGCAGCTGGGGGGCCGTAGCCGCAAAGGTCTCCTTGGCGAGGGTCTGGGCAGCCGCGCTGCCCGCCATCATGGCATGGTACAGGGGGAGCGTATACTTCTGCTTCCCCTGCGAGAGGAGGCTTGTGCTCAGGGTCTGTCGGCCAGCTCGAGGGTCACAGCCCTGCCCCTGCCCCGGGGCCCATCTGACGGCCCAGCCTCCTGCTCCCCAGGGCCCAAAGGGATGTGGATTTCCGTGCTGGAAGGGGCGGGGGGGGGGGGGGNGGTGGGGGGGGGGGGGGGGGGGGGGGGGGCTTCCCAGACACGAAGTCTCGTGTTCTGGAATCTTCTCAGAGGCCATAGACCCTCACGGCTAGGTCTCCCAGTCACCCTCTTGGATATGTCCACACTCGACAGAAACGAGTGGCGTGGGCACGCAGGAGGCTCCACAGCTTAGAGCTCTAAGAGGTCAGAGCTGCGAGGCGGCAGCACATGGCCAAGACCGCAGTGCCTAACCCACACATGGGGCTCCGGAGGACCATCCGTAGCCAAGATGGAAGCCGCACCCCGACAGCTGCACCAGACGGTCACACAGGCTGCCGACCCCCGAGGCGGGGGCCTCAGGGGCTCGGGAGGAGTCTGACCCAGTCTGGCCCATGGCCCGGATCCGGCCCTCCTCTGGACTCTCACGGAACGACCTCCCCAGCAGGCCGGCTGGCCTCTGAACCCTCAGGCACAGGCCTCCCCAGGCGCCCGGACCCTTTGCTCACCTTCCCTCGCTTCTCCTAGCCTCTGGCCTCTCCCCAGACCAGCCCCGCTGACGCATGGCCCGTCTTGCCTCCCTCCCAGCGTCCGGCCGATGCTGGCCAGCCCCACCCCTCGGGCCTCTCCAGCTGACCTGCACAGGCTCCCAGGCCGGGCGGCCTCCCCCCAGGGCGGCACCACGGCCTGCTCTCGGGACCTGCCGGGCCCTTTGGCCCAGAGAGGGCGGCCTGCGGGGCCCTGCCCGCCGTGTGCCCGAGGGGGTCAGGGAGCCGGGGGTGCCCACCTGGCTGTGCAGGAATTCCTTCACTTTCCAGAAGTCCTCCTGGTGGTCGTTCTTGAGGACAATCTGGCCCCATCGCAGCCGCAGCTCTGCGTTCTGGGCGTTTGAAATCTTTGGGTACATCTCTCCAAGTTTCTTCACGTTCCCTGGAGAAAAGAAACGGGTCACGAAAGACGCTGCCAGCAGCGCCCCACACTGAGGAGGCCGCGCGTCTGCCCGAGGCCCTCCGGGGGCTCCGGAATCACGTCTCTGAGGGCTTCAGGCACCCACTTGTCCTGCACCTTCGGGCCCAATGCGGTCGTGCCCTGGACGCGCACCTGCCCCAGCTTCACAGCTCTCCTAACCACCTTCCCCTGACGCCACACAGAGGGGTACGTCCCTGGTGGGCTCTGCCTGAGACTCCGCGCTTCTGAAGCAGGGGCCCAGCTTCAACTCCCGCCTGGGGAAGTAGATCCCACACGCCACAACTAAAGAGTTCAAACGCCGAAACTAAGATCCAGCGCAGCCAAATAAGTAAACAAAATAAGCATTAAAAAAAGTATATCAGCGGGGTGCAAGGAAGGTTCAAAATGGATGGATCATATGGATCCTTACGGAGGATTCACGCTGATGCACAGCAGAAACCAACACGATGTTGTAAAGCAATTATTCACCAGGGAAAATTTTACAATAATAAGATAAAATGTGTATACATAGCATCCCGACCTCCTACGCTCCTTCCTCCCCAGACCAGAGCGTGTGCGCCCCCAGATGTCCTGCCTGCCACCCCTCCCACCAGCACCTGCTGGCCGGCATCTTGCTCTAACCGCTTTTCTGGGGCACAGCCCTTGGTACTATTTCTGGCTGAGCAGCAACGGGGCACTCGTGCTGAAGGGCAGGGGCCGGGCAGGGCCACCCCCCACCCTGCCTGTGGGCTGAGTGAGTGACTGGTGCCCCGGGCTCCACAGCCCTGGGCTCACAGGGCAGTGAGGAGGATGGGAAGGCGTCACAGTGAGGGTGAGGGGAGACTGCCCTGTACGGGCCGAGGACCCGGCGAGCCTCTGGTTTTCCTGCCCGGGACACGGGTGGACACTCCACCCCACACAGACCTGCCCCCGCCACCCAGGACACACATGGCATCTGCCCCAGCCCCGAGGGAGTGGCCCGCTCTTTCTCACCGGGAGGGAGCGGGGACTGCTGCAGGATCTTATCCAGGAAGTACACCAGCTGGTAGGTCTTCCAGGCAGAGGTGGGCACGGCGTCGATGGCCCCTGGGTCCAGCTCCTCGGCCGCCCACAGCTGGGCCAGCTCCTCGGCCGGCCTCATGAGCGAGTCCCCGGGGGAGAGGTCCGGGAGGTAAGGTGGCCAGCCCGGGGTGTCCAGCCAGCGATCAAACTCGAACCCTACTTGGCGGAAGCGAAGACCCCGTCAGAACTCCCCGCCAGAGCCACGGTCAGCCCGCCCCGGCAGCTCCCAAGTCCTCCCCCAACGCTGACACCACTGCCCCATGGCCAGCTGCTCTGCAGGGCCCCAGCCCCCGTGACGCCTACAGCCCCGGGTGACCCCCTTCCCACCTGGGCCTGTTCTGTGCAGAAATGAGCCGTCAGGACGACAGGGGACACGGCCCACCCCCACGAGCAGAGCAGCTGTGCCGACGCTCCTGGGCTCTGGGGTCCTGCCCTCAGCAGCTGGGGGGGTCCTACCCTCACCACCTGGGGGGAGTCCACCCTCCCAGCCAGCAGGGGAGCTGGCTGGATGGTGCCCAGCGCAGAGCAGGGAGCAGGGGCACACCTCAGGGGTCACAGGCCTCCCACCAGCTCTCCAGGCAGGGCAGCCGCCCTGGTCCTGGCCGGGGAGCCCCTCGGGGCGGCAGTGGCCTGGGCAGGGCTCAGGGTCTGACTGTGTCTCAGAGACAGGGAAACCAGACGGCAGACAGGAGCAGAAAGGCCGAGTGGGGCAAAGGAAGCCGGGGGTGGCGGAGGTCCTTCTGTGGGGCCCTGGGGCCACCCCAAAGCGCCACCCCCAGGGGAACACACTGGTCCCTCAGGGCAGAAAGCAGACCCCACCCTCCACGACCTCCTGGAAGCCGTGGGCCAGCTCCTCTGCTCACCCGGGATGGAATCCACCCTCTTTTTCTTCAGCTCAGGGAAATAGTCCAGGAAGAAGTCCAGGAAGTCGTCAGCTAAGATGCTTTGGAACTTGAACTTGTCCACGTAGGCCTGCAAGGACGAAGGGGCGGCACAATCAGCTGTGCAGAGCCCCCACGCCCCCCGCCCCCACCGGCCCCCTCACCTCGAGCTGATTACCTTGAGGAAGTCGTCAAACTGGTCCTGGTCACCCACCAGGTGGGCCAGGTAGGAGATAAAGCAGAAGCCTTTCTCGTAGGGGGTCTCGTTGTAGGTGTCATCCGGGTCGACCCCTGCAGAGAGAGCTCTGGATTCAGAGCTTCAGAGTGGCTGTGGCAAGACCGACACCCATTCCCCAGGGCAGCCCGGCCTGTCTCCAGGGTCTCGAGAGGGACGACAGGGGGAGCCCGGGGCTGCTGTGCTGGTGGGGCCTCCCTTGCCCCACGGTCACCCCCCACCATGTGGCCGCCCACCAGAACAATGGGGGTTTCTGCAGATGCTCTGGAGCCAAGTTAACAAACTATCCCATCTATAGTGAGCTCTCCATCAGAGTCAGAGGCTTCAGCTGCACAGAAAGGTTTCAATTAGTCACACGGGGAAATAACAATGTTAGGAAACAAAAATCGATGACCTCGGAGCAGTCACCGGCTTTCTGGGTCACGCCCTCTGTAAGGACAGGCGACCTTGTTCTAGAAACCCCAAGGGGCTGAGCTGACCAAGGACAGGGACCCAGACAAGCAGGGCAACGCAGTCACTCGGAACTGGCCGGAGCAGCGGGGAGGGCCTCGGGGGCTCCTCCCCGCCGAGGGACCAGGGCGCACGGGGCGGGAGGGCGCTGACCAGGCTCGATCCGCACGCGCAGCTTGTTCAGAGGGTGGTCCTCGCCCGTGATGTCCATGTGCTGCCGCAGCAGTGCCCGCCCGGTGGCGGCTTCCAAGCAGGTGTAGGCGGGCCCTGTGGGCAGGAAAGGGGCTGGCACCCCATGCACGCCTCCCCGAGGACCGCGGGCAGGGAGGCTGTTGACAGCCGACCCCTCGGCCCGTCTCCCGCACACGCTCCCTCTGGCAGGGGCCTTCTGTGCAGCGTGATGGTGTCTGTAGAGACGGGAGTCTGACCACCCCCCAAAATGGAACCTGCCCATCTGACTGCTCCTATCGCACAGGAGAAATGGTCACCTGAGCCTTTCCTCGGGTCCCCGGTCTTCTTCTGGCAGGACGGTGGGCACCAGCCTCACTGCCGCCCGCCAGATGCTCCGACCTGGGGCGACAGCCCGCCCGCCTCAGGGTCCAGCATGCACGGTCTCAGAGACCACTGCAGGATTCCCAGCGGCCAAGACCCTCCTGCTCCGTGCCCTGATGAAACAATAAACCTCTACAAACTTTCTGGGAGGCAGGAGACAATACATGCTTTAAAAAAAAGGCCTTTAAAATGTTCAAGTCCTGACAAGCACACTTCAAGGAATTTATTGAAATCATCTGAGATACACGTGAACCTACGTAAAGATGTTTATCAGAATATTATTTTGTTGGGAAAACGAGGGACTTCCCTGGCAATTCAGTGGTTAAGACTGTGCTTCTACTGCAAAGGGCGTGGGTTCAATTCTTGGTTGGGAACTAAGATCCCACATGCCCCGAGGCGTGGCCAAAACAACAACAGCAACGACAACAACGAAAAAATAAGATTTTTGTTTGTTTAAATTAAAAAAAAAAAGAAAATTACAGATCAGCCTACAACTGGAGGCTGACGCAATAACTTATGAATTTATTTAAATTCTTCTGCAGCAGTACAAGAAAATTTAATGACTCAAGAAAACGTTTAACTTTACTAGGCTAACAAAAATGACAGTTCTAATGCCACGTATGGTCTGATGATTCACACACACAAAAAGAACTATTAATACATCAGAAAAGATATCCACCAATCATCTCTGAATGGTGAAATGATAGGTGAATATTATGCTGTGTACTTTCCCATAGGCACCAAAATAGATTTTAATCAGAGAAAGAATAAAAAAAAGCCAAAAAGCACCTATGTGCTGTGGGTTTTCAATAAAGAGATGGTGCTGGGAACGTTATTTCAAAAGTGTGGCTGGGCGCAATGTGAAGGTCTGCCTTCAGCTGCTAAGTCGCGGTGAGCATGCTTCCTACCCTCTCTGCTTTGTGACCTGCACACGGCAGTGAAGGGGGTGAGCGCAGCACCCAGTCAAGGCTGGTACTGGGTGTTCAACACAACGTGACGCTGACAATGACCTGACCACGCACTTGGCGCATGAACTGACACCTGAGACACTGCAGGGCCATGCCCCTGGGGCACGCAGCCTTGGGAAGGCACGCCCACCACCCGGTCCCTCTGGCCAACTAGACTGCCCAGGACTCCCTCAGCCCCCGGGCCCTGCCAATGCGTGACTGCAGCGTGGCAGGAACAGTGTAAGCATAACTGTGTCGTAAGCTGGCTGCCACGGCAGTCCAGGGCTCGCTGCACTGCCGCCCCTGGACACCCCAGAAGGACCCTGGCGGGCCCAGGACGGAAGGACGGGTCCCCGTGGCGACTCACCGAACAGAACGGAGGAGATCCTCCTCTGGGCGTACATGGTGAAGCCTTCGTTCATCCAGAACTCCCCCCAGTTGGCGTTGGTCACCAGGTTCCCAAACCAGCTATGGGCAATCTCGTGGATGATGACGTCGGCCAGGGAGCGGTCTCCGGCCAGGAGGCAGGGCGTGACGAAGGTCAGGCAGGGGTTCTCCATCCCCCCGAACGGGAAGGACGGGGGCATGAAGAGCACGTCATACCTGCCGGGGGCGGGCGGTCACACGGGGTGTGGCTCCACCCCGCAGTGCCCCCCTCTCCCGGCCCTTCCCAACACCCAGCTCCCCGCAGGCCTGACGGGGCCTCTTGTTCAGGAGACCCCAAGTCTGGAGACAGCAAACAGAGAGTGGGGCTGCCCACAGTGACGGGAAAGGCAAGTCAGCCGCATCCCCACCGCGAATCCCACCTCCAACCCAGCACCCGCCTGCATGCCGCTGTCCTGAAACCCCCACCCCGGGCCCGCCTCAGTCGCAGCCACAGCGGGTCAGGCTGGCGGTCCTCTCCTCCCCGCCCCTGCACCCCGGGGGGGGGACCACAGACGTGAAGCCCCCGTGACACCTCACCTTCCCCACACGTAGGGTCCGAAGAGCTTCTCTCCCGTTGCCAAAAACTCCTCTATGACCCCGTCGTACTCCTCCTTGGCAGCGTTGATGAGGCAGGGCTCGGCCCACACCCGGCTCCTGCGGACAAGGGTGCAGAGAGGGCGGCGCGGTGGTCAGGGTCTGCCTGGACCAGCAGGCCTCCGCCTCCCAGGGAGCTGGCAAGCCTGCCAGCAGAGTACCCAGGACAGAAGCGAGGCCCACACAGAGCCGGAGGGCTGGCCCCGCCTGCAGAGTGGCGCCGGGAGCTCCTGTAGGCAGCAGGCCTGCCCCCACATGGAGCCCCAGCTCCCCAACCGCCCGGCGGCTTCAGAAACGACTGGTCTTGCTCCGCGCCAGCAGCTCATCCTCTTCTGAACAGAACGTGGCAGGAGTAAACCCCTGGAAGATGTCCCTCTCCTTCTCTGCTTTCCCGTGGCTGCAGGCTGGCGTGCCTCCGGTCACCCACTGCCCTGCACCAGGAAGGGGCCCCTCGTCGCGCAGGCCCGGGGCTGCCCGGAACCCATGGCTGGAAGCGGATGCCGACGGGCCCACCCAGCACTCCCTCTGACCACAGGAGCGGAGGCGTGCGGTGCCTGTGCCGCTGCTGAACCCTGTCCGAGGCCTGGCGCCCGGCCAGCACCTCTGGGGCTGGCAGAACGAAGGACAGCACCGCCACCAGGGGAGCCACGTCCAGCCGACCCTCCCACTGCGGGCAAGGTACGCCGCGGACAGGATGACGACCAGGAGAACCCGGGCGCCTCGTCAATTTCTCTTTGGGGGACACCTGACAAAATCCTTATTCACCTCCACTAAAGCCCCCTCCCTTCACAGAGTTGGCCCAGGCCTGGGCCTCTGTATCCAGAGCAGACAGGAGAGAGCGTGCTTGGGCTTCCTGGGAGGGTGACAGTAAGAGCAAGGCGGGTGTTTCCAGGAATTAAGTGCCAGAGAAGGCAAGGAGATTTGGCAGTGATAAGAAAGCGCACATAGTAGCTAGAAGGGGATCTAGACTGCTGCCTGAGCTCAGAGCTCTCTCTGCATGGGCCAGGACAAAGCAGGACTGGGTCTCAGTGCAGGATGGGAGGGAGGAGCGGGGAAAGGACAGTACTCCGACGCCCTCAGGCCACGCCCCGTGCCACAGAAAGGCTTGGACTTGGGGCAGGCCAACACCGCCCCGAGAACCACCCCCAACAGGTCTGCTCGCTGGTCAGAGGGCTCCTTGCTTGGAGGTTGGTCCAGTCTTGCCTCCGGGGTCTTGGTCTCCTACCTGGGTCCAACTTCAGCTGAAACCAGATCTCCGATGGCCAAGGCTATCAGGTAGGAGGGGATGGGCTGACTCATCCGGAAGAAGAACTTATTGGGGCCGCGCTCCTCCCAGGCGTCAGCACTCATCACAGCGGTGAAGCCATCAGGAACCTGAGGACAGAGGAAGCCAGCAAGGTCTCACCTGGACAGAGCCAGTTTTCCATCAGCAGCCGGCCCGGTGATGATGGCGGCCTGAAGGCCACCGCAAGTACAGGAGCTTCTAGAAACTAAACGGGCTCAACCGATGGGCTTTAGCACAGATAAAACTTCTGCAGGTGGAGGAGTTCTTCAGAGGGTCTGTAAGCATCCCCTGAAAGGTGACCTGATGGAGAGGACCGTTCCAGTCCCCAGGGCAGGGACACACGGCCCCCTCACCTCGAGGAGAGCGGAGTATCTGCACTTCACGGCGGGGGTGTCAAAGCACGGGAAGAAGGCTCGGTTCAGGACGGCCTGGCCCTGGGTGTAGACGAAGGGCTTCTTCTTCCCCGCCGTCTGCTCAGGAGCCAGCCAGCACACCTGCGGGGAGGGGCGCACCGCTCAGAGCCGACAGCCCACGAGGCCCTGGGCAGGCACTGCTGCGCTGGTTGCACGACTTCCAGCCAGGCTGGCTCAGATGAGGAAGCTCTCTCTGGCTGCGTGTTTAATCCCCCCGGAGTCCAGGCCGCGGCCCAAAGTCCACTTCCCAGGGCAGACACCACCAAGGGGTCACTCCTCATGTGTCCCTGGGCCGTCTCAAGAATTCCTGAGCTGGCCTCCAACCCCCTCGTCCTGACTCCCTCCTGCGTCCTCCTCACTGTAGTAATTTCTCACCAAAAAACAAATGCTGAAGAAGCCGTTCTTCAACTTGAGGTAAAAGACACAGAAAAGCAGAAGCTAACAGCAAGGAGTGTGATTAATAGGTGTTCTCCATTCCCTGGAGAAGGAAATGGCAACCCACTCCAGTACTCTTGCCTGGAGAATGCCATGGACGGAGGAGCTTGGTAGGCTACAGTCCACGGGGTCGCAAAGAGTCGGACACGACTGAGCGACTTCACTTCACTTTCACTTCCATTCCTGAAATTTACCCTTTCAGAATAAGTGTGTTTTGGGCTTTCCAGGTGGTGCCAGCAATAAAGAATCCACCTGCCAATGCAAGAGAATAAACGTGTTTTACATTACAGGCACTGGCTATGATTCTCCCCCCAACCAATATTTATTTTATTTATTTATTTACTTGGCTATACCTGGTCTTAGTTGCAGCGTGTGGAATCTTTTTACAGCATGCAAGATCTAGTTCCCTGAACAGGAATCGAACCCTAGCCCCCTGCACTGCGGATGTGGAGTCTTAGCCACTGGACCCCCAGGGACGTCCCGGGCTGTGATTCCTGAATTGTCTTCTGTAAGCCCTTAATCGAGGGTACATCTGAGCCATTATTACAAACCCCAATGCTGCCCACAGCAGAGCTCATGTCTAACACAGAGGCTGCGTGGTGCTGAGGGGCCCGCGTCAGCAGCATACACCACAGGAAGGTCAGAAAAGGGCTGAGGGGTCCCAGGAGGGTCTCAGTGTAAGCAAAACCCTCAGGCTGCACCCTCAACAGCCGGCAGGGTTTAAACAGCTGGAAGGAAGGGAGATGACGTCCAGGAGACGGGAGCAGCATGGGCGGGCGGGGAATGTGGCTCCCTTGGAGCCGGGCAGCTGTGTGTGGTGAAAGGCTTAAAGCACAGAGGCGCTGAGACCGACTCATAAGCAGCATGAGGGAGACTCAGCTGGAAGGAAGGGAGATGACGTCCAGGAGACGGGAGCAGCATGGGCGGGCGGGGAATGTGGCTCCCGTGGAGCCGGGCAGCTGTGTGTGGTGAAAGGCTTAAAGCACAGAGGCGCTGAGACCGACTCATAAGCAGCATGAGGGAGACACACTGGGGAGCTGGGGGTTTTCTTTGCATGTGTGCACGTGTGTGTGCGCACGTGTGTGTGTGTGCACGCGTGTGTGTGCACGTGTGTGCACGTGTGTGTGTGTGTGCAAAAGGTAAAAAGTCTCCGTCCAGAGTCCAGTAAGACAGAAGTGGGGGCGGGGCAGAGAGAGAGATGCCCCGTGCAGACCCCAGCAAGCTCTGCTTCAGGCTGGTGACCGGAGGCCAGCACAGAGGCCAGGAATCAAGCCAATACCACTGCCCTCAATATGATGTTAGAGAAGTGACACCTTATCTCTGAACTTCCGCTCAACTTTGCTGGGAAACTGAAACTGCTCTAAAAAATAATCTATGAAAAACAAGCAGACTTTATAACCCTAGTCTAATCGTGAGAAAAACAAAAGATAAATTCCAATAGAGGGGCGCACCACTGTTCAAAACTATCTAAGTCACCAAAACAGGAGCATCTAAGGAATCGTCACAGCCAAGAGAAGCCCACAGAGACGTGACAGAGGGACACACTTGGGTTTCTGGACGGGACCCTGGAGCAGAGGATACTTTAAAACCTAAGGCTGCTATACACCTGAAATTAACATCATAAATCAACTATAGTATAAAGTACAAGTTTAAAAGACCCAACACTCTAATAATACCTTGTACATGAAAGCTGCTCAATAAACAAATTATTTAAAATAAAAACTAAGGTAATCTGGAAAAACTACAGATTCCAGTTTATAATAGGGTATCTCTACTGGCTCATCAATTGCAACAAGTGTATCCCACTCGTAAGCCGCTAATAAGGTGGGGGATGGTGGCGGTGTGTGTGTGTGCGTTGGGGGTTTATGGAAACTGTCCTATACGCTCAGCTTTCCTGGTAATCTAAACAGGTTTTTAAAAAAAAAAAAAATTAATTCTATTATTGAAAACAAGTGTAACGAGTTGGCAGTGAGAGGTACTAGGCACCATATTAGAACTTATATAAAGACAATTCATATAACTGTTGTCAGGCTCAGCTCTGTAAACAATGACTTACATCCCTTCAACCACAATCCTCTCTGCTTGAGTTTGGCTTGTTTTTGTTGTAATGACATGAACAGAAGAGGATGAAGGGGGCTGGCAGCACAATGAAACCCAGGAGACGCTGTGGCCCACGGTGACCACGGTAAGCGCCCCCCTTGGGACAGCGGAACAGGAACTGTGCCCACTGGGGACCTCCACAGGGCAGAGGACAGCTCTCCATGGAGCGTGGGTGTCTGCCATCAAGTCTTAAATGAAAGCTGTTTAATTCCGAAATTCAACTTCAGGTGCCACTTTGGGTTGGCATACCCAGGAGGCCTAATTTTTCCAATTATTGTACTTAATTTCTGCCCCCAACTGGGAACCAGAATATAACAGAGCTGCTGCTGCTGCTAAGGCACTTCAGTCGTCTCCGACTGTGCGACCCCATAGACGGCAGCCCACCAGGCTCCCCTGTCCCTGGGATTCTCCAGGCAAGAACACTGGAGTGGGTTGCCATTTTCTCCTCCAATGCATTAAAGTGAAGTCGCTCAGTCGTGTCTGAGCAACCCCAGGGACTCCAGCCTACCAGGCTCCTCCATCCATGGAATTTTCCAGGCCAGAGTACTGAAGTGGGGTGCCATTGCAACCAAACACATTTCCATGCGTTCCATGTGTCCCTCTATGCCAAGTTGCCCGTAGCGGTCCAGTTTTTCCTCTGCCTTAGAGGTCAGTCCACATTGCTCTGGACTTTAATTTTTCAAACAAGTTCTATCTTAAGGTTCATGTACATGCCTAATGGTAAAAGACGGAAACAGAAACGCCCTCTGAGCCAGTTCCAAGAGCTAAGGGGAGAGCGCCATAGAAGAGCAGGCTTCCTGGGCAGGCAGGCCGCCCACCCCATCCGAGAAAGGGCTGGGATTCTCACCGAGGTACCCACAAGACCCTCTTTCCAACTGCTACACTTGCCCCACCTCCCCCACCCCGGTTTAGAGTTTAAGAGCCAACAGTGAGAAAGCCAATTATTACAAAGCCTGGTCCACCCTAATTCTGGCTCTCACTTTTACTCAAATTCTTTTGTTCATCACATCCAGGAGGAAACAATAAATAGTAAGTGCCCAGTCTCGGAGCTGTTCCAGCCCCGGGCACAAAGGGCTGAGTCAGCAGCGGGTAACGAGCCCTCATCTTCAGGGCTGCTCCCGAGCAGAGCACCACCAGGGCCCAGCCCAGGCTGGGCACACCTAAAGCCCTAAACTCAGCTCGGGAACCATCTGCTGTCCAGCCTGGAGGACGCAGAGGGCTACAGACGGCGCGGCGGGGGTATCTGGATAAAGACCGGCAGGACCAGAGGCGGGGGTGGGGAGTCACCTGGCCGAGGAGGGGCGGGGGGGAGGCGGGAAGGCGCGCCAATACGAGGAGGCGCGGGGGNCCCGCCCCTGCAGGCCTGGCTCCGCCCCGCAGCCGGTCTGGCCCCGGGAGTCTTTGCCGCGCGCCCGGGAAGGCCCCGCCCCCGATAAGACCACGCCCCGGAACCGAGCATGGCCACGCCAAGCCGCCGGCCGAGTTCCGGAAGGGCCCGCCCCCGCGCAAACCACGCCCTTCCCCTGACCCTAACCCACCCCCAGCTCTGCACCTTCACCGAAGGACTTTGGACAGGCCTTTGGACAGGCCCGCTGGCGACAGTTTGATCCACCTCGGCCCGAATTCATCCCACTGGGATGGCCCCCAGCCCCTGCGCTGAGGTTGCCATGTCAGAGTCCAGCGGGCGGGCAGCACTGAGCCCGGGGGTCGGGTTTGAACTCACAAGCTCTGCAGCAAACCTTCCCCAAGAAAGGAGACTCTTTCCCGCCTCTCGGTGCAGTTGTGACACAAGAGAAATTACAGCATCTCTTGAGCCATAGTAACTCAATCGGGGCTCCAGCGTGTGGCCCTTCGTCCTTCCGACAAGGGGTGGGTACCAGCACAGCACCTGTGAGGCTGGCGGCTGGTGGGCAGCCTGTCCCCCCTCCTGTGTGGGACAGCTCGCTGTGCCGGTGACCCTCCCAGGAGCCCGGCTGACTAGGAGCCGCTCATCAGCTGTGCTGGAAACTATATCAAGTCATGTCCCACTCTGCGACCCCATGGACTGCAGCTCGTCAGGCTCCTCTGTCCGTGGGATTCTTCAGGCAAGAATCCTGGAGTGTGTTGCCATGCCCTCCTTCAGGGAATCTTCCTGACCTGGAGATGGGCCCCAAGCCTCTTACTTCTGCACCAGCAGGGGGTTCCTTCTGGTGGTGGTGGTGGTGGTGGTTTAGTGCTAAGTCGTGTCTGACCTTTGCGACCCCATGGACAGCAGCTCGCCAGGCTCCTCTGTTCATGGGCTTTTCCAGGCAAGAGTACTGGGGTGGGTTGTCATTTCCTCCTCAGGGGATCTTCCCCTTAGGAAATGAAATTTTAAGAGACAATGTAGGGAGTTTCCCACAAAGGAAATAGTATCCTAGTATGTGCTTCCTAGTTCTGCAGTGTTAAATACATCTTATTTTTTGAAATGCTTATAGTAGATATTTGAAATTCCATATAAAATCAATATCAGTTTTCTTTTTTTCTTTCTTCTCTTTTTTAACTTACTGGCTTAGTGAAATCCAAAA